CACCTTATTCTCCTTGATGTTCTACAATCCTAAGTTCGATTAATCCAATGGATGTATTTAGTTTGAAAGAGAATTTTCATAGTCGCGATGATGAGAAGAAGCATTAGTAAAGATCCAAGCACCGATGAAAAACATTGATAAAATCCAAGCATTGATGAGAAACCTTGATGATTCTTGAGGTTACAGTCACAAGTTTGTTCTCCAATTTATTTGTTTTCAATCCCTTATTTTTGCATGGACCAATTCTTTTGAATTTTGGTCCATCGGGATACCCTAACTTTTGCCTAAGTCAATTTTTTTGATTTTCTTTGACTTAGCGGGCTTTCTCCTTTTGAATTTCTTTTTGCTTTTTTTTTTAACATTTTGCGACTGCCATGTTAACTTTGTAAGCTTGTCTTCATTGTTTACTCGATCTTGAATGATGTATTGAAAAGGAAGACGTCATGGGTTTTATCTTCATTGACTCCTCAACTTTGGATGATGGTGCGAGCAAAAGGATGTGCTTGAACATTTTCTTAGATTGACTTGATTCTCCTGAGATTTGAATTCCGCATTGAGTTAATTGAAAGACTACCCTGCCCCTGGTTAAAATTAAGAGTTTTTTAGAAAATTGAAAAAACTCCAACTTCTGGCTCGAGGGGATTGACTACGGATTAACTTCCTTATTCCTCCACTGTTTATGAATTTAAACAATGCCTTACATCGTCAGCTCAATCTTACATTGAAAGCATACGTCATCCAAATTCAGTATTTTGTATTTACATTATTCTCCCTCAATGTTGTTAAAAATGCAAGATCAAAGATAGAAGTGAACAATTGATATTTATGGAAAGTGAAGGTAAATGAAAGATGTGAAATGAATGAATTGATTTCAGAAAAGTGCATGCTCATTTTATTTGAATCATTAGTCAAAAAATACAAATTTACACCAAAATATAACTTAACAACTTGGAAATTACAATTTGAAATTGATAAAATCTAATGATCCTAGAGATTAGCTTTTTTGTTAATCCACTTGACTTTAGGAGATATACTTCATAGTTCTTGGACTTGTAGAAGTATGGGGATGATCTTTGATTCTTCTTGGGCATACCTATTTCCTGAGGACATTGCTCTTGTTGATCATCAATGATAGTTGCATTTAAGGCGTTGTGTAGGCTTTTTCCTTGTATGAAGAAGGGATGCCTTATCTCCTAAATAAGATTTGTAGGACCAAGCTCAATTGAGTCTCCAATGTGTGACTTCTCCTTCACCAATCTTGGATTTTCTTGAATTCCTTCATAGATTTCTTGAAGCCTGCTTGGAATTTGTTCTTGAGCATCGGGAAATATGCTAACTGGATGATAGCGGCCAAGGGGAAGGTGGAAATGTGTATGTATGATTTTATGTAAATGGAAATTCCATGTAACGCGAGTGTAGTATGAAAGTAAACATAAGGGTACCCTACACGGGTTGAAGGATTAACCTTAGTTTCGGAGATTAAGACATACCTAAGGAAACATAAATGGAAAGGAGGATACCCTATACTGACTTAGAGATTGTAACAGACACAAGGAACTCCTTAAGGATTATGGATAGTGAAAGACAAAGAGGAATCCCTACAAGCTAGAGGTTGTAATAGAGGGACGAGAATTCCTACAGGCTAGGAATTATAATAGTCAAATGGAAGTCCTACAGACTAGGAATGATAATAGACCAATGGACAATTGAGATGAAGGTTTGACTGAGGGAATAACATGGAAAAGAGTACATTGTGACCGTTCAACAGTCACCAAATCCCATGGTCTTTTAGGGCCACGTGGCATGTATCAGCGAGGACAAAATCCTATGAAGATTCTAAGGATATTGACGGGCAAAAGGGAATCCCTACCGGTTAGGGATTATAACAAACAAAAGGGAACCATTATGGGTTTAGGGTATTGAATACCTTATACCAATTTTGGGATAGATATGGAAATGAGAATACCCTATGCGGGATTAGGGATTGTAATAGATAGAAGGTCACCCTTGCGGGTTTAGGAATGGTGACAAGATATCCTTAGTAGGTAGGTTTCTAGTTTCGTCCTACGAATATCCTACACTCCCCATAAGGATGGCTTCCTTAAGGGTATCATGGATAACACTAAAAGGAAAAGGCACAAGGTCATCTCTTAAGTGGAGCCTCATTGTAGACCAAAACTTTCGTCTCTTAGGTCGTACAAGGTCTCACCACGAGATTTTTTTTAGGGTTATACAAAGAGTCATTGGCCAAATCCCGAATTCCTACCTCCTAGAGAGTTTATCCCTCTAAAAGATATTCCTTGGAACTCAACCGACTATAGGAAAGGTGTTAGGCACCCTTCATCTCCCTTAATCTCAAGGGGCATCCTATTTTAGGTCGTAGGGTAGATCGATAATTTTTATTTAAAAGTTAGTGTTTCCATATGTTTGAGAAAATGTTTAATTTTTAATTAAGGGACTCGCCTTGGTTTTAACCGCGTGCCTACGTATCTCCTTGTGAAGACTCAGAGTCCAATTTCGTAGTTCGTATGTGATTGTTGATGTTTTTTATAGGATCATATAATTGTTTTCGAATTATCCTTGAACCTTGTTTGGGTTTGAAAAAATGGGTGATCGTAGACGCAATTCACAATTTTAATTTGAAAGCAATTTGACAATCCTTTTTATGAAAATATCTTGAATTTTTATTATGTTAGTAAAAAAGTGGTTTTGATGATTGGTTAGTTGTTTTAAGATTGATTAATAAAGAGTTGATCTTTATCGAAATTAAATCGCACTAGGTGAAGAAATTAATTTGATTTGTTTGGTGAATTTTAAATGTTTTGATTTGAGTAATTAATTAGTAAGGCGTTAAGCCGGCCACTTCGAAGAACAAGTGCATTAGGGGTTTAACTTTTATGCTTAAGATTTTATCATGACTTCATCGAAAATGTTCTCAAGCTAGAATTTTGTTCCTCTCACCATCTCAATCCATTTCTTCCTCAATGTACTTTCAAAGTGAGAGGATTGAGAGTTTCTCATCTATTATGCTTGAGCTTGATATTAGATTTTCAACAGAAGTTTATTTGTGATAGGTTTTTTTCCCTCAAAGCTACATGTTACATTATTCTTCATCATCTTAGGGTTACTCTTATTTTAAGCTTAAGCTTGTGAATGATCATCAATGAAAGATTATGATTGGGGTTATGTGTTAAATCTATCTTTTGCTATGCTTCATCTCCAAGAGTTTATTCAAAGATTTCCTTTTGTGATTGATCATTGATCATCAAATCAAGGACTTGAAAAATGAATTGCGAAAAGGGTGAGTATGATTTGAGAAATTCATCGTGTTCAAGGAATCCTTATTCTTTCAAGAATTCATTTCTTGCAATACAAGCTGCTTATGCTTAAACATCGAAAGAAGGGGTTATTTAATTAAGGATGAACTTGAATAGAGGTAATCACGACACATCTTTTGGCTATCAAGAATTGACTTCAAACATACAAAGAGTGGGAAGATTCATTCACGTGGATTTCTTCAAATGTGTGTTACTTGGGACTTAAGGCATTCATTATAATTCTTCAAGTATAAAGATTCAATGATCATGCAAGATTGCAAAGCATAAGCCGTTTGTTCATAAAAGCTTATTCAAGATGTTCTCAAGGCCATTAGTGATAATGATCACTAGTGCAAGTATGCAAAAGCATTTTATATGCAAAATTGGAAGAACATTTAAAAGGAGAATTTTAAACTTGAGGAAAGCCTTAGTTAAATTCAAAGTATTTGGACTTAAAGATACAATATCAAGGTTTCAAAGCATACACCATTATTCATTCAAGATTTCAAAGTTCATCATTCAAAGGCATGATTTGAAATCAAGTTCAAAATCCATCATTATTCAAGAGAAGTTACAAGCATATCATATTTCAAAAACTCACTCAAGTTCACTTGATTCATCATCATTTATCACGGCTCAAGTTTCCATCATTCATGTTTGACGATATTCATTCGAGTTTCAAGTCCCAATTATGTTTAAGATTCGAGATTTTTTTCATCCAATTTCAATTACAAGTTTAAGTAAGCTCATCATGTTTCCTTATACAAAATCAATATTCATCATTCTAAACAAAAATCAAGAATATTCAAGTTCCAAAATACATTGAAGAAAATTACAAGTGCATAAGTAAGTCCTAAGCTTTTTTCCTAATACTCAAGCCTCAATTGTCCAAACTATCCATAAAACTTGAGATAAAGCAGTTCACCTTTCCAACTAAACCGATTCGTGAACTGCACCTGCATTAAATCCACAGGCTGTAATAGAACAAAGGCATTTGGGAAAATTGCAAAGACATAATTTTTGGAAAGGAATTAAAAGCTTGCTCAAGAAGTTTTATACCAGCTCATCAAGGCCAAAGAGAAAATCAGAGGAAGTATTAAACCAAAGAAAATCAGAAAAAATAAGGAGAATAGAAAAATCAGGAAATTAAAACTGAAGTTCCAACTCAGTTCATTTTATTCCTTCATTCATATAACAAACTTTCAAAAATCAAGGGATGAGATGCTCTTACCTGTAAGAAACTTCTCAAAAAATCCAAGCCAACAACTATATAACAGGGTTTAATCTTCATTTATGATCACAATTCATTTTCTGCAAAAAAAACTTCTGAGAGAAGCTTCAAAGTTCTCTTTGAAATTCTCTGAAGATTCTTGGTTTTCATTTTCATTTCTCAAGAGTTAATTCTTCAAATTCTCTCTCTCTTCTTTGTCAATCATCACTGCAACATTCTTAAATATTCATCATATAAACTTCATCAGCAATCATCTTCATCTCTGCACATAAGAACATCAAGTAAGTCGCACAGAGCAACACGCCGTGTTAAACCGAAAAGCATAATTTAAAGAAGAAGAAGAGTATCAAAATAACTGTGGATTTCTGGTTCCGATATAAGCAGCTTTGAAGCGCCATCGGAGCAACTCCGATCGGTAAGCTTCATTTCCTTCTTGTTTTTTTTCTCACCATCTAGCATACTCCTGATACTGCTGGCTTCGTATTTTTACTTATGTAACTTTGATTCCTAGTTCTGCTTCTCTGAATCTGTGAATTTTTTTTAATACTTCCTGTTTGAATCGAGCTGACACGTGAGAGGTGTTGATCCATGGCGGAGAGATGAGAGTCAAAAGGAAGCAAGCTTAAAGGTGATGAATGGCGATGATGAATACACAATGATGCATGATCGAGATTGGAGAGGGAGGCGGTGAATTCATGGCACTTTGAAGAAGAGAAACGAGGTGATGACGCCGTGAATGGCAAAGTTGAATCGAACGTGCTGAGAACGTTGAGACATCGAAGCATGAACAGAACCATGCTTGAAGCTGAGACGAGACGACGATGTCACTGTTGAGATGATGACAAAACGACGTCAAGCTGACCACGGCGGGGTATGGCGTCGGGAATTGATGATGAAAATGAGTCGGTATTATGATAAAGAGATGAGCAAGCATTTTGAGTTCGTGAAGACAACGAGGGTTGAGATAATGGAGTCGACGCGCCGTCGATGAAGAAGCAGCAGCAGCGCCGTTTGCAAATTTGGAAGGAGAAGAATATTGTGTTTCACTGAAGACCAAAAGCCACAACTCCGAACCCTAATTCTAATCAAAACGATGCACTTTTCCTTCTATTCTTTTTTTACTTGTTTTTTTAATAAACAAAAACAATCTGAAATAATATTTGGAAATTAAGATCTAATTGTAAATGGATCGTGCTGGGCCTTCTCTAGCTACATCTCCTTCAAGCCAAACACTTATGTTTTTTTCAATGCACAGAGCCTCAGACAAATAAAAAACTCCCAATGTACTAATTCTACTAGACCGAACCTCTTCTTCACTAGGCCCAATCGTTTTTTTGTTCAATTTACTTGCAAAAACATAACTACTCCCGTTGGACCTGCATATTGGGCATGCGCCTAATTTATATTTTACACCCTTGGGTCTAACTTCGTACCTCCCTCTATTTCTCACTTTTAATTTTTTTCTCTTCCATTTTTAATTGTTTTAGTTTTAATTTATTTTATTAATTTTAGGTATTAAAAATAATAATAATAATAAAAAGATATATAAAAATATGCTTTAGGCTTTTTAGGAGTACTCTAGGTTTTATTTAGATTTTTAGTTCTATTATTTCTTCATGTTTTCCATTTTTTTTAAAATCGAGTAAAACACCATGTTTTGTGCGTTTATGTAGTGTTGATCAAATAAGATGCTTGAGTATTGGGGATTATCTTGCGTTGAAATGGCATGCTCCTTAAGGATTCCATGAGACGATTAATATCCCTTTTGATTGTTTTATGTTGATTAGACCTTAGGGTGTTGATACAAGCACGATAACATCAAGACAGATTTCCCTTTAATTCAACCTTAGGACCATTTGAGATATTATCCAGACAAAATACTCTAACTCATCAAATCATTTTGTGCTCTTTATGCACTTTTCTCTTTAAAAATCTTTTCTCTGAGACTAGGCTCTTGTCGGTTCTTGTAGTGATGTAAGCTACTATACTTCTACAATATGTAGTGAAGCGATTGACATTTTCCACTTGGGTGTAGAGTGATGTCTTCTTGATTTTAATCCAAGATCCTCCACCTTAAGATGATGCAAATGCTCATTCCTCATAATTGTGGGTAGTAAGTATGTTTTCCACTCGAATACGACAATATGTCTTTCATTAAAAAAAACAATCAACAAATAAAAACTTTTTTCAGAAAGAACTACGAGTTTTATGATTCCTCCTGGGATATATAGGCACTGGGTTGAAAGATTCGGACGAACGCAATAATAAAAACTCTTTCTTTTCCCAATTAATTCATTCATGCATTTTTAGCAAACAACTCTTTTTAATAGCCAAAATACACAAATTTTCAAAGAGGTTCATATGGAGTACCGTAGATGTTTAGGGTGCTAATACCTTCCCTTTGCATAACCAGCCCCCGTACCTAGATTCTCTCCCCCTCTCTTTTTGGGTTATTCGCTCTTTTCCCATTCCTCTGGAAACAATAAAGCACGGTGGCGATTTTTATTTGATTTGTACGAGTCAAGTCAATCTAATGGCTTTGTCTCAACATTTGTACCGGTACAAAAAATGGCAACTTCATTGGGGATTGATCGACCAAATGCTGGTCCATCTCTAAGTGGGTTAAGCCTATATTTATTTATTTGTGTATGTGTTATTATTGGTTGTATATTATTTATTGTATATATGCTTGTTTGTAGGATTTTTATGGTTTTCAGGGTTCGGTGATCGTTGTGTGGTGAGATAAGTCCTATACCCAGACGTGAGTGCACTTATGTTTAGGATGGGTGGTATAGTCATGTTAACTTTGAGGGAGGAATCCCAAAAAAGGAGACATGAGATCCCATATTCAGTGGAGGCCCTTTTGACTGTAGTATTGTTTATCGAATAATCAAGAAGACGTGCTGCTTTTGATCTGGGAGCCTGAGAAGCTGAGGACCGTAGAACCCCTAACCGATCTTGGCCTTTTAGGTGTAGTGCGGAAGCTATGACAGAGTAATCCAGAAGTGGTTGTCATGCGATGCTACACTCAGGCGAGTTTTTCCCGAGAGTATTACTAATTACCGAGTTAATCGGGGTGTTGGTAATATCCGAAGGAAGAACGTAGACTCTGAGAACTTTTTAAAACCTTGTCCGGTAGGTGATGAACCATTAGTCCTTATCGTGTGGGTTAGTTGTTACTTTGGCTTGATGCTCGTGACGCTGAAATTTCGAACATGTTATTGAAGATGTGAAAAACACAAGAAGGGGGGGTTGAATTGACAAACTTGAAATTAAAAGCGTAATGACACAGTATTTTTATCCTGGTTCGTTTGATCTCAAACTACTCCAGTCCATCCATCAAGGTGATTTCGCCTCTCTCCAACGTGGTCTTAATTCACTAATTTCAACAAGATTACAATCGCTACTTTAATAACTGTTAAAGTCTTCTTGAGTACAACCACAGTCCGATTAATCTCAAGGAACACTGTTTCAATACAATTATACAAGATATGTGTTGTTGTTTTTCTTACAAAAACTGTTTATCACAACTGTGATAAATTACACAAGATTATAGCTTGGAAATGTAAATGATATTGCTTGCAGCTTTGAATATACGTGAGTGGTAATGTAGCAAAATCGTCCTTGATTTTGAATGCTGACTTTGTTTATATAGGCAGTGGAATAACGTTGATCATAAAGCATGTTTAATGTCATTAACACACCTTCCATTTGGAGAAGATCCTGTCTGAAAGAAGCCGTTGGAATTGATGTTGTTATGAATGATCAGTAAAGCTTCAGAATCTTATCTCCTTGCCTATTGATGACGCTTCAGAATATTGATGACTTGGATTGGTATGTTCTTGTTCAGAATCAGAGTTTACTTTGATTAAGCGCAGGTTCTGGTCATCAATCTTCAGCGCATGTTCTGATTACTTCAACATGTAACTCTTATGGCTTATCTTCTGATGCTGATATGGTCAGAACTTCTGCATACATAGAAACATAATTTTTAGGGTGCATATTTGTTCTTTGTATTTATTATTTATTCTTTGTATTTGTTATCATCAAAACTCTAACTAAGGGTTGTAGAATCAACTTTGTTCTAACAATCTCCCCCTTTTTGATGATGATAAAAACTAGATTTTTCAATTAAAAATAGAGAACAAAAGGTTTAAGAGAAACTCTCCCTGAGTTGATTACTTCCCTTAAGTTTCTTGAGCATCAGAATTTAGCTGCATCTTCTATCAGAGTTTGTACTTTCTCACCCTGTTCAAATATTCTCAGAAAGTAGAGGTTAAGTAATTTAGAATGTTTGAGACTTTTGTCTCAGTAAACCGTTATTGAAAATATCTTACTTTCTCCCCCCTTTTTGTCAGTTATCAAAAAGGTAATATATTCAGAGCCAAAAGATAAGAATTATATTAAAAACATTAAGCAATGATAATTTCCAGAACAGAAGAGGTAAAAATTAAACGTTACAGATAAGCATATTTAAAAAAGAAATCTAAGAAGGAGGGGAAGTCATGTGAAGAACGCTTCCAGCAAGCTTTTGATTTGAGTATTAGACTCTTCTTGCTTACCCAAAATGCCTCTGATTTCCTTGGTGGTGTCTTCCTGTTTACCTAGAATGCTTTTAATCTCCTTGTTCGTGTCCTCCTGCTGATCCAACCTAGCATGAATAAGAGCATTTTCTTTCTTCAACTCTTCCAGAGTTTGCATGACTAAGGAAGGTGCTGGAGCTTCTTCAGGAGTTGGACGTAGCTCAGAGCATTCTGCAGCTTTTTCAGAGTGAACCATTGCTTCTGCTGTAACCAAGTCTTCTAGAGCAGCAGTCAGGGAGAGTCTTTCTGATTCTGGTTGAACTTCATTTGAGGGGTGATGCTCTGTCCAGGGAGCATTATCCAGAGAAAGGATTTCTTTCTTGAACAGTGGGGTCAGAACTTGGTCTTGAAGAGCCTTCATCTTATCACTAAATTTTTGTTGAACCTGTTCATAACTCTGTTCCTTTAGCTTCAGCGTTTCAGAACTAAGCCAGTTTCAGAATCTTATCCACAGATAATCAGAAGCAGCAGGGTTAGTCATCTCTTGACTAGCATGCTTCAAAGAATTTATCCATTTCTGCATTCTTGTTTCAAAAATCAACAAATTTGTACCAACATCTGATGGGTCTGATGTGGTTTCAGTTGGTTTGGGTTTGAGAATGGTGGTTTTGAGAGATGTGTTGGTTAGTCTTTCCATCAAGATTGGATCAACGAAAAGTCTCAAATTTTCAGCTGGATGGCTAGTAGGTGAAGGAGTGGGAGAGTCGGGTATGATGATTGGTCTAGTGGGGGTGTTTGGAGGAGTGGATTCCAGAGATGATGGGATTTCTGGAATATCGTGGATGGTGAGAGGCATGTGAATAACAAGTGGTTATGTGATTCCAAGTATAGGGATAGTATCAGAATCTGAATGAGGTTCTTCAGATTGGTTTGTTGAAACATGAGGAGGTTCTTGTTCATGGATAACAGAAGATTGATTTTCAGAAGGTTGAACTTCTGGTTGTTGAATTTCCGTTTGAGGAATCTCTGGTTGATGAGGTGATTGTGGTTGCAAAATTTCTGGTTGAGATATTTCTGATTGATGTGTTTCTGGTTGAGGTGAATTTGGATGAGGAATTTTTGTTTGTGGAGAGAGTTGTTACAGAATTGCGGGTGTGGTATCAGAGTTTGGATTTTATGGTACGGGAGCTGAAAAGTCTTGGTCAAATAAATCAATATCAGACAGAACTTTGGCAAGTTCTGGTTGGTTTTGTTCAGGATTTAGATTATGAGAA